TTAAGGATGCTTTGCCAAGTACCAAAAAACAACAGCTTCTCATTTTGGGACAACAGTCCCCCCCATTTTCACCTCCCCTGGTTCCAAGAGTCTTCAGAACAGAGATCTTCTTCCCTGAAGATGGAAGGCACCACCACACCCTCCTCATCTTTCTTCACTTCACTTCACTTCACTTCACTTCACTTCACTTCACTTCACTTCACTTCACTTCACTTCACTTCACTTCACTCCTGCACATGGTGTCACTGCAGCAGGTCACTCTCTTGCCTCCAGGCCATTGCCTCCCCCTAAATGCAGTCTCTGTGTTACAGGAAAATTGGTTCAGTCCGTGGCTATACAAGAAAAGTCCAGCCAAAGGCCACTCCATCATCTCTTCCCACCTAGGATTCTTTCCCATTTTCTTCTGACATCTCAGGTCCCAGGCTCTCTCTCTTCTCTTTGAGATCAAGGAGAATTAGTGTTTCACAAGGTTTTCTTTGTCTAAGAAAGGGTTAGCTGCACTGACCAGAAGGAAAGATAAAGTCCTCTGGGAGTTCTCTGCTTTTAACTCCCTGTGTTCTCAGAGTGCATCCATGTCTTCAGAGGTTACACCAGGTGTCAGTAATTAAACCTGACCACTGATTGGCTTGGCTGTAACTTCCTGAAAAACTCACTTCCCTGTCAGCCGACTCTGCCTTAGAATTTATTGAGCAGAAGAATATGCAGGAATCCTTTTTGTCTTTAGTTTTAGTCAGTTTCATGTCAGCCCCTGAGGATGGGAACTTTCCCATAGGCTCCATTCTTGATGTAAGAAACCTGACATAAAGTCAGGTTACATTCTGAGGTAAGAAGCTTGAGATAAAGAAGGTACAAGTTTGAATCCAGTCTCAGACTGTCACAACATCTTCCCTTCTCCTCTTTCCATCTTTAGACCTTGTGTGTAGTTTGGGAGCACTGGCCTGATGGCAGCTCCTTCAGAGACTCAGAGGATGGTGAATGTCTGTAGCTCTGCCCAGGGCTGAAGAAATGTGTGAGTCTGCACTTTGCGTGTACACGAGCTGTTCTGCCTGGGAGGGCGGTAGAGGCAATCACAGAGGGAGTTAGTCTCATAAACCATGATCCCATCTGCTCTAGGTGTGGACAAGGATCTCTGCCCATGAGGCCGTGAATAGATTCAGATGGAAAGCCCTTTTGCGTTTTCTGAGCATCAGGTTTCTGGTGAGGTGTGTGCATTGTCCCCTCTCCTCTGTAGATCCTGCTAAGTGAACTCCAGTGCCTTTGACATTTATGATGTACAGTCACTTTTGAGATTAAAGTCTTAAGTGGCCCTTTAAAATTGCATTGGAAAATCTAAAAGAGAGTTTATGTTTACCTTAGTGTTCTATTAATGTCATGCCATTAGCATTCTCTACTCATTTTGTGCTCGAAGGCTTTCATTCTTTGAAACAAACAGAAAAAACATACTGAGCTTGTTTTTTCTGAAATGGCTTACTCAACCTTTATGTAGCCAGTACTTTACAGCACTTTCTGGTTTTTCCACAGAGGTGCTTCTGCTTTATATTTTATGAAAACATTTTTCTGGAAACAAGGGCCTGTAGTGACAGGACAAGGGAGAATGCCTTTAATCTGTAAGAGAGTAAGTTTGCATTGGAGATTAGGGAGAAGCTCTTTACTGTAAGGGTGGTGAGGCACTGGAACAGGTTGCCCAGAGAAGTTGTGGATGCACCATCCCAGGCATTGTTCAAGGCCAGGCTGGATGGGGCTTTCAGCAGCCCAGACTAGTGGGGGATGTCTGTGCCCTCAGGTGGAAAGTTGGGACTCGATGATCTTTAAGGTCCCTTCCAACCCAAACCATTCTGTGATTTCTCATCTCCACTTAGAATTCACTTAGAGGTAATGTTTTATTCCCTGCACTCAGCAGGAACTATTGAACTAGCTGCTAGCAGCTGCTTTGGAATGGTATGGATCAAAAATTGTTACAGAAAGTAAAAGAAACACCACCCTTTTGAAATGGTGCAGTTGTGGGTTTTGTGGTCTGTGCATGTGCCAGTGGCTGTAATTACATCAGGTGAAGCAAGCTGATAAAGGGAGTGACTGTCCCCAATTTCAAGGCAATATTACTCCACTCAGTAATTTTTTAATGAATAGCACTAAAACCTGTTGTTTTCTACTCCAAAGAGAGATTTGTTATCTAGAGAAAAAGTACTGAGAATAGATTGACTTTTTTAAGCAAAGTTCGTTGAGAAAATGCTGTTGGCATAAGTGACAACTAATAGAAAGTTTTTTTAAGCTATCTTTGGTACCAGGTAGTGCCTCTTGCACTGAATAGTTTCACTTGTACAGGGAGAGCTGATTTCCTTTTCCACAGCTCTGTAACGTAAATAATCACATTTTGGTTTTCTTCCCTAAAAATAATTCAGAGGGCAAAAAGCATGTGATGCCTAGTGTTCTAAACTTAAATAATCTACATGCTTACATGTACTGAAGGCTGTCAGTCTTGTATTACAGAATAATAAATTTCCTATATTTCAGAAATGCTAAAATGTTAGTGTAATGTCAATGTTACGGATGGCCTGCATCATACTGTAGTGAAATTAAAGATTATTAAATAAATCCATATGAATGAGCCTTACCATTGAATTATTTTGCTCCTTCCCTGAATACTGCAGATCATTATATCAGCTCATGTTTCTTTTGCCTTCTGCAGATTAAACATGGCAATAAATGAGCTCCACATTCAGTCTGTTTTACAATGTCAAAAGGTCTTCATTAAAAGTGGCAATTTAGGGATGGTGAAAGTTTGTGTTTGTTTAGGACAGAATGCACTGGGTATTGCTGTTTCGCTACCAAATGTGAGCACTTAACATAAATGTCACTGTTGCTAGAGCATGTCAGCTTATTCTAGGAAGCTCCATCCCCTTAGAGAGTTTTTAGGTGTATTCTGAGGTGATTCTCTGACTCTCATGGGGTTTGATACCGTATTCTAATTCACCACCTTTTAGAAATTCTTGTGTGTTGAGATCATCCTCTTAGCTACATAACCTAGCTGCAAAGAATCATCAGAACAAGTATTCTGTAAATAAGACACAGATTTGTGTCTAATGTTCCTACATTTGATCCTGTATCCATTATCGTCAAACTTCAGGAGCTCCTGAAAAGTTCTTGCTGGAAACACATCAACACATTCCTGCCACAGCACGTTAGCAGAAATAGATTCAAGCTGTTTGAGTGAAATCTATTCTTCTGGCTAAACACTGGGTCTTTCACTTTATGGCACCATATCTCAGTTTTGCTCAGAAATTGTTTTATGTGATCTATTTACATAGATGTTAGGGCTTACAAGTCAAATTCAAATACCATCACTGCTGATCCTAAAATTCAGGGGTGGCTGGGTTGTGGGGGAAAGCAGCCATTAATCAAGTGCTTTAATCCTGTTTTACAAAATCTGATAACCAGATTCAAGGCATCCTGTTGCTCTGACCATACAGAATGCAATGGGCATGCCTGGAGATTACTGTGTATCTGTAGTATGGGTTGCTTAACTTTGGTTAAAACAATTTAAGAACTTCACCTTTTGGAGGAGTGAATCTGAGGAGAACAATGGATGATGCCAACAGGTGAAGAAGATTATAGAAGCCCCTTTATGTCAGCACTCTTTAAGCTGCAGACTGGTAGCAGCTTTACAGAAGCAATTGTTGTGATCCTTGATCTTAAAAAAAACCAAATATGAAAAGCTCCCTGCAAAAGCCAATACCCACTAAATCACTGATTACCACTGAGATTGTATATAAAATAAAGTCATGGGTTTTCAAATTTCACAGAACACTGGTTGGGTTAAAAGAAGATTTTTTTTCCCCCCAATGAATTCTTTGTAGCTATTTGCATTATAAATGCTGTGTTCAATCTGTAAGTACTTAATATTTGATTTCTGCTCTTTTTAATATTGTCAGCTCTTCCTCAGCCACTAATTCCCTGTTTTGTTGTTCAGGGTTTTTTTAGACATGTTGACAGATAATGAAAAATAGCATGAGCTGCTTTTCTGCAGCTATATGCCAGAGTGATGTAAAAAAGTATTTGGAAGAAGATTGTGGGTAGTGCTTTTTCCTTATTCTGGTAAATCATCACTTAAAAGTAAAATACATTAAAGTTAATATTTTCTGAGGAGGATGCAAGATATAGTAATTAAAATTAATAATCAGCTTCAGAGTTCTACTGCAGTAGAAGGAAACATTTTAAAATTTTTTTACATTTTTTTTTCTTAGTTTGAATTAGACTATTAAATGTTTCTTTACCTGATGATTTTCTTCCAAAGGGATCACCCAGGACATCTACTCCATTTGGTACAGCGCATGGCAGAGAGAAAAGAGTCTCTAATGATGTGGAAAACTATTACAGACCTTCAATGCTTGAGGACCCATGGGCTGGCCTAGAGCCAGTGTCTGTTACAGACATAAACCAGCAATACAGCAGTGAGCAGACAACATGTACTGGCAAAAAAGGGAGGTATTTCAGCTAACACTTTTAAAGGCCAAACAGTTCCATCTTGTCAGGAAAACTTTGGGACAGAATCTTTACACTTACACAAGATGAACAATAATCAAGACCTTAGATAATACTTTTATTTCATCACATGTCCACCCTTTTATCCTACCTTTTTTTATTGCATTGGATATATTTATGTATGGGAGGCAAAAGGAGTGGTAGGAAAACTTACATTTCTGGCTATGTGGAAGTGCCTGCCAGCTCTGAAGAACAGTGCTCTTTAATCACCAGCGACTGATTTGTGACTGTTAAAGCAAGTTTTCATATACTTACCTCTCCCAAGCCAGACTGTTGGCCTTCTACTGTAAAGTCTTTTAGGAAGTGGTATTTTTTATGTTTCAACATTTTTAGATTGAAATAACTTGGAAATAAAATAAAGTTTTGTAAATCCTTGTTTTGTAATGTATAAAGAGTATTTTAGGAGCTTTGTTAAGGTGAACACATTAACACAGTAATTCACAACACTGAAATTAGGTGACTTCTGTGTTTGTATGGTGTAGTTAACATCTGGTTTTGTGCATAATAATTTTTGTTAATTGCAGTGTAATATGAAATTGAAACATGACTTATAGCCATCTCAGGAAACAAATGTATTGGTTTTGGAAAGTTTAATTTGTTGAACAAACTCAAGTCACAAACTTAATTCTGGAATTACTTGCTTTTGTGTTTAAAAATATTATATATTTGGATCAATATTAGAAATTTCTGGATTATAGTAACAAGTCTGCTCATTGACAATTTTAAGTCTAAGGAACACATAAAACATCAAGCTTAAGTAAATGCAAATTTTCTTTTTGGATCCACCTGCTAGAATTGTACAGAATGAGTGACAGTTTTTGTTACACAGTTGACATTAGTACATGCATAGCATCTTTTTTTAATCCATTTTATATTTTTCAATTATTTTTTATTTTTACTTAGAGCAGGCATCATTGCCAGGAGAATTGATTTGTGTGTGTACATGATATATTTTTATACTGAAGAGGAAAGCAATGCTTTGAGTTTTTTAGAGCTTGTCTTTGCATGGAAGATCCATGCTTAAATTCAGGAGTGAATATTATAATCTAGAATAAAAAAGACATAGTTCCAGCTGCAGGCATGTTCTTAACTTGCCATGTTACAGCTGCAGTAGTTAGATAAATTTGTTGTTGAACTTAACACTATTTGTTTGTTGATCTTGGCTTTTAAACCAAGGTAGAGTGTAAAATCTTTGTTAGATAAAACCGTTAGTTTAGTTTTCAAAATGCATGTGTTCTTTTAAGCTTCTTATGTACTCAAAACTTATTTTTGTAGTCCTGAGGCAGGATTAGGTAGAGAAGCACAGGAAATCCCATTAAACGGTTCTTAGCAGCTTGTCTTTTGCTGAGGTTGAATTGTCCTCTGTACTCTTTATCTGTTTCAGCATAGGATGTGTTAGGTTAATACTGCCTTCAGGAACAACTTCAGACTGTGAGGGGAGCTTAATATGTTCAAATGTTCTGAGCCTCTTGTACTCTTAGGACCACAGTCTAAAGTATGTCACTTGTGTGTCCATTATTTTAGTATTATATCCAAAAAGGCTGCCTCAAGAACTGAGAACATAAAGCCTGCTGGCTATCAAGAAGGGTGAAATCTTCATCCCAGAATCAAAAACTGGTGCCTTAAATGGCAGCTATCAGTGTTGTTTTCTTTAATAGGTACCGGCTAAACTGAGATGACTTGACAAGTTGTAGAATTTATACATACGTTAATCAACATCATTGTGAAAACTGAAGTGTAAATTTTTCTTTCATTTTTTGTTTTTTCAACCTTGTCAGGTGCTGTTAAGCTCACAGAAAAAAAAAAAAAAGTAGCAATGTGCTTAATCAAGTGCCCTGTTTCTTTGCCGTTTCCCATGTAATTGAAATGCAGTATATTTTTTGTAATATTTGGTGATCTTGGAGAAACAAATATAATTTTATTTTAGAGAGTAAATCCATGATGTGTTCTCAGTTAGATGTGATGAGAGTCTCAGTTTGGAAGGGAGAAAGGAAAGGTGAGGGATTCCTGAGAGAAAAGAGACTGTTAGAGGTGGGACTTCTTACAGAGTAGCCAGTATGAGCTGCCCTTGCACATTGCAAGGATGGGTTTTTCCACTTTGGCATTGCAGTTGACCCAGGCATCAACTGGAACCAGGTGTCAGACGTCGGTGAAGGTAAATCTTCCAGAAAGAGAACTGAGAAAATAATTGTGAAACACTGTGTAATCCATGCAGACCTTCCACTATGTCATCTGTTAAATTGCTGCTTCAGTGCACTTCAGGATATGACTCAACAATTTTAAGTACATCATGCTGCTAAAGTCATGCTACAGTCATTTGGTCAAGAATCAGCACCAAAAACTTTAAAATTATTCACCTTTCTGGCTTCTGGGAGAAATTTTGTAATTACAGTAAAATATAAATGTGTCATTGTTGGAGAGCTGTAAAATGCATGAACACGTGTTCAGAACTATAAATATAATGTTCTTAAAGTCAATTTAAGCTTTGCCTTTTTTGCCATGATATCTATTAAGCTTAAGAACATACCTCCTCACCAGCTTTTTTTCTTTTTACCATTTGGCAAACATCTGATGGAGAGAGGATATATCCCTTCCTCATTTGTTAATGAAGCCGCTTCATAGTACCACTATGACTCTGGAAATAGCGTGTGATGATAAAATGTAAAGCACAAAATACATCATTGTTTCATGAGCCCGTGAAACAAAATAGTGCTTATGTCTTTTTAATGAAGGGATTCCTCTGTAATCAACACAATATATGGGCATTGCTCTTTCTTCAACAGACTTCATAGATTTGAAGGTAAGTTAGCTTCTTTTTCAGAAGTTTGGGTTTATACACCATACCATTCTGTTTTGTTTGCCTTGTGTTTGTCAAGTCCATTTGACTTTCTCTTCAGTTGTTTTAAAGTGTAACTCATGAGTAACTCTTCCAGCAGAAATTCAATTCACTTGTTGCTGTTTTTGCTCCTGTATTTAAAATTGAACTGCATCACTACTACATTAACAGTAACAAGAAGTTAAATCAGCCGAGGACATGTGTAATGCAGCAATGCACTGGGTGGGTAATGACCTCAGGATGTGCAAATAATAGTTCAAACTTCAACTTTGGGTTTTTATTCCAGCTTTATCATATGGAGTATTCATTATTCTGTGGCACTCAGCACACGCATTGAAATTGTTAAATAATTTAGCATATTACAATATAAATTAAAATGAGGTTTTAAAAGTTCATGTTAAACTCCTCCTCTTTAGAATTAGAAGTAATGCCTTGAGATGTAGCATTTTCCTAATGTCAAACCTGCGAACATTTAGCAGGTAAAATGTGTCTGATCAGCAGAATGGATGACTACTTTTGCAGTCAGGTTGTCTGTGTTGTTAAGGACATCTTTATGTGCTCTTAACTTTATAGAAATTACTTCAGTAGAAATCAGAGGGGGGAGCATTTGAAAAATGCATTATATGGAAATTCTACAAGTAGCTGTTCACCTTCGTTCCAAAGAAAAGATTTTTTATAGCATGTTTGGTTTTCAAGCTGTGCTTCTGAGTAATCTCACTGAAGTCAGAAGATTTGCTCATGCAGCTGGGATGGGTAAGTATCTGATGTCACAGTTTGAAAATTCTGTCATCCATTTATCTATCAGTGCTTTTTACTAGCACTGCAGTTTATTCCTCTGCCTGGCAATTGTTCTGAATTCAAATTCATACATGGCTTTTATACATGACTGTCTTGCAATGCATTAAACTCGTTTGTAGAATATTTTCCAAAATTCTCAAGAGTAAAGACTGTTCTCTTTTCCCCAAATCCTGGTGCTTGCCTTCCTTCTGTCTTCTTGGAACTGGCAGAGGAGAGGGAAGATTGCCTACACTGATGGGTGAAGAATTGTGTAATGATTTTCATATCTCAGGCTTTCAGAAACTTGCATATCAATTGACATAGGGAACTAAACAAACTTTTTTATCATTTGAGATAGTTCAAACAACTTTTTACAGCACAAGAAATGAAAGAAATCAAGTTATGTTTACACTCAACATTTATGCAGTTTCAGCATTCAGTCATTAATTCACAACCAAAATTTTTTTTGCCTAGAGTAAATTCTTGTATGTATGTGTCAAAAGGCACAAACTGATTCAGTTTCATTCTCTGCCATTTTCACTTTAATGTGTTTTGCTGACTTAGAACTTAACAATAATTTCTCAATCTGAACTTCTGAATTTTCTTTTACAAAGTAAATAACTCTTGAATGTTTGACCTCAATCTAGTCCTTCCCTTTAAACTGCTGCTGACTCATCTGTTTTAGATCTGGCAAAAAAGGCTTTATCTTAGCCCCATTGCTTCCTTGATGACACTAAGAAATCTTTCCCTCCTGGGCTGGAGACAGCTGGGCAGATGTGTGGCCACCCTTCCTGTCCTAGAGGTTAGACCTAGACTTTGGCCATTCCAGGAGCTGTTTTGAGACAAATAGTAATCCCTTTTGCTTCACCAGCTCTGTGTGGGGTCCAAACCCAATCAGGGGTTGGTTAGTGCACATCCTGGATTTTAAGTTTCATCAACATCTTCTGCAGTAAAATCACAGGTGAATTCCACTGCCCTTTTTTAACTCATCTGTGGCTGTTGCACACTGTTGTTCTGAACTAGTTGTGTAAACATTTGTATTCAAGAATGTAACTCCTGCAGCTAAAAGGGGTCATACCAGTACAGTTCCACAGGGAAATTTTTAATGCTGCTGACTGTCCTGCTATTATAACCTGCACCAAAAATCTGCATGTATCACCCTGCTTCTGTGTAGCAGTAACCATGCTGTTTGATGCTGTATTAAACTGCACTTCAACCTGGTCTCCATAAGTGTTTGCCACAGTCCAATTGCTGTGTATTCAAGGTAGTTAGAAGCTGTTACCGTAGAGTCAATGGGTTCAAAACCTTGTTGTATGTATGGGGAAATTCCTATGAGTTCAACCTGCTGAACATGATGTCAATGGAACTGTTAGTATACCAGTAAAGGGAAGAACAAAACCTGTTTCACATTGATGGTAAATGATTCTCTTTTCAAGCATCACAGAGCTGCTGCTAAAACAAGGGAAGAGGAATCAAGCTAATTGACAGCTTCTGTGGATGACTGCACAGCATAAAGTACAAATAACAGGGCTGACATAAGCTTTAAAAAGCACTGATTGCCAGCTTGGGAGTAGCATCATCAATAATTGGATTGTAAGTAGCAATTGCAGTGTTCTTAAATTAAACCATCACCTCCTGTGGCTTTATGAAGATTTTTAGGTTAATATAAAAGAAGGCTTTGAGCTATATTCCCTTAACACATGTTGGAAATTAATGTTACTATTCCTACAGTTGAGTTTGCAAAAGAGACTGTCTTCATCACTTGTCTGTGAAGTTTAGTTTCTTTGCCTTTTTTTTTTTCAAGCTAAGAAGAAGCAGGATTTGAAAATCTCAGGGATTGTAACAAAGATAAAAGGAAGAATTAACATGTGCAAATGGTCCAAGAGTACAACTTGATTAAATAACTATAAGAAGGCATTGAGAATCTATTGATTACTTGGCATTTCACTTTCCTAAGGCTGTTTCCCTTGTCTGTAAATTTTTAATAGCCTCCTGATTTCTGTGGCAATTAATTTACACTAAGGAAAATGATTGGGTTGTTAATTTCCACATGTTGGAAAGCTGTTTGCGCACTATGGGCAACAGGTTAAGAAACTGATAACTGTTTGCAAATGAATGAGCCGCCAAATTGTCTCACTGTTGGTGACACCTCACTACCAGCAGCATTCCTGTACTTACAATAGTTTCTAAAAATACCAAGCACGTAGAAAGCTTGTGCAGAGAACCTTTGAATCTGTGTTTTCAAGGTACTTATTGCATCTGGTTGCTTTTTCTGATGATATTTAATTTCCTCTCACAACAATTGCTGTGTGTTTTATACATTGGCTGTCCTGTAGCCTGTCATCCTCCTCACTGCTGTGAGTGAGGAAGAAGTAGTTACTGTCTGTATTTTGTGAATATACTACTGGTAGCAGCCCAGTTTAGTTTCTCTCTGCTATTAGATCATCCCAGTATACATTAACCAAATCTCTATGGTCTTACAGTTTGCAAAGTAGATTCTAGTACATTATTAAACATATCCACAAGGCTCTGTGTACTTTATTTTTCAAGCAAACAGTTTTAAGGGACCTACCAAAAGTGGTTGTTTAACACACAAAATCCCACCCAATTCTATCCAGAGGAATAACTTAGGCAGTCTTACCCTAATTTTTGCTCTCCAGAGAGTTTTCAATTGTTTCTTCCCCAAAGCTATTCTGCCTTGGTTTTCCATGGAAATAAATATACCCTCCCTACCCTTTCCATTGGAATAGGTTCACTCCACCCTTCAGGGCTCTGCTGGAGGGTTTGATGGAATCAGTGTCATCCAACCACGCAGCACATTCAGTCCCTACAGGTCCTGTTAGTTGACATTGCTGGAGATGACAGAATTCTGACAACAAGTAAAGTCACACAGATCCCTGCTGACTCATCTAAATGAGCCTGCACTGGTTGAGTGGTGGACTTTGTTGTCAGATGTGCAGTGAGAACTTTAAAACACAGACATGACCTTGCCATAGTGGCCACCCTTCAGAAGCCACTGCTGAACATTCAGACAAGTGGTGCTCAAATCTGTTTTAAACATTGCAAATTTAGCAATAATAAACAGGCAAAACCACTCTAAAAAGACAACAGAAAAAGTGTGTAAGAAGAAGACACAGGGAAAGTGTTGCATTGATCCCAGTTCTTTCTGGTAGCTTCCCAACACAACCATCTCTTAAATACTTACATTTTCACTAAGGATAGCCTCATTGATGGTACACCAAGTTGGATGGAGGAAAAACTACCTCATGAAAGAAAAAATATCAAGTATTCTTGCTCCAGCAGCCACAGGATGTATTACTGTTTTTAAATCTATGAATGACAAGAAAGCAGATATGCATTTCTGAGATAAGTGAGTTTGGTGGACAGCAGAAATCAAAAGGTTGTCTGTCTGCCTAGGGACCTTTCCTACTCAATATATTTAATCATTTACTGCCAGTTTGAAAAGACAGTTCAACTTCAGTCCAGCACTACTTACTTCAGTGCTAAATTCTACATAGACACTTTTGAACAACCTGAAGAGCTGCTACAGAGCAACTGCTTTCAGGCTTGAAAGCAGAAGGAAAAAGCAAGGTTCTGGTGTCATTCTCACTGTATTAATATATCAGAGAAAAACAGCAGAAACACATCTAGTCAAAGCACATGGCTTAAACAGCAGCTAGTCTGTCTCTAGGTAAGCATCCCAAAATAAATAATCCAGTTTCAGGCCTGGCTCATCAGGATCATCAGTTCAGCCGACTTGCCCCTCCAGCACCTCCTGGCATGGAGACAATGCCAGGTGAAAGGGTCTGCACCCTCAAAACCACACCATTGGCACCAGTCGTTCTCAGTCATTTCTAATATCACAAAGTGTCAGCACAGAACATGGACAAGAGTCCAGGACATATTAAAGGTGTCCCCATAAGGGACACAAAAGGGTAGAAGGCTGAAGAAGGGTAAGACCTGCATTCATTCCCTCACTCTGTTTCTTCACAGGCTCCACAACATCGTGGCCAAGCCCTGCATTTTCTCTGGGGTCACTTTCCACGAGTAATTCTGAATATTCTTTCTGTGGCTGACATTTCAGTTGAACCAGATATTTCTCTCTTAAAGACTTCCACTCTTTTGTGACATAAGATATCCATAAATTATTTTTTTATTCTTAATGTATTGATCTATTATAAAATAAACATTTAACTTATGATTCAGAGCTATGTGTATCACAAGAAGATTTTTCGATTCTGAGCTATCACTGTTACCCCGGTTCCGACAAAGCAAATACAAGTGTTTTCAGATCTCACAGATTAAGACTGAATAGTTTAAAATGTGTTTCAAACTAAGCTTGCTGATGGCTTGGACAAGAAAGTTAATTCTAGTGAGCTTTTCCAACAGTGAATCTTAGAACTGGAGCTGCCTGTGACCATCTTTTTTATAATAATGTTGCAATATCAATTGCATAGCAATTTACAAAGGTATTTCAATCTGTAACAATCTGCTTTCAATCTGCTTTTTCTGCCTGCAGTTTTCACAATCCTGCTTCATCATTTTTGTCCTGAGGTCCTATTGAATTTTTGCTTATTATTATTTCTTTTTACTAGTTGCATGTTTTAACAATCTTTCAAAATGGTAAAGAAAAATTAGTTTTAAAGTTCCAAGTAGTGTCTATACATATTGAGTCCCAAAGAGTGAGTGAAATCAATAACTTGGATGATTCTAGTTGTGAAGAGGTATGGGAATGGGATACAGAGTTTTCAGCATCCATAAAGCAATAAGTGAAATACACTTTTTGCTAAGAAATGCTACGTAGATTTTGGTCAAATCCCAAATCTCACTGTCAATCAGTTGGTGGTAGAAAGAAGTATATCCTGTGAGATCCTGCACAATGTTATGTCTGAGCCTCACCTGGCAACTCCCATGTAAAATCACCAGTTTTGTTTAAACCACAACAAGGACAATTAATATTTAAAGATTTGCCTTTGTGGTATCCCAGGCAGAAAGAGTTAAAACCATTCACAGCTTTTTCTTGGAATTTCCCTCTCCTCTCCAGAGAGGTCTGTTCTGGAGTCATGTAAACACAGACATCTGCTTGCTGTCACTTCACCCTTATTTTGAATTCATAAGAATAGAAAGAATCCCTGGGGGAGTTCCAGACCAGGCCACTTTCAGCCACCAGCTCTCTATGCCTTTATCCAGTAAAAAGGCAGATGAAGTGCTGGGGCTCATATGTATTTCATGAACCTTCTGGCTTTGAGTTTTGTTAAACTTTGAAGTTAGAAATGCAATTCATTCTGTCTGAAAATAGTGTCAACCCAAATTTATTTTTCATACAAAAAGCGGACAAAACTTTTTTATACCTAAACTGTGTAAAGGAAATTGTGAAGTACAGTAAGCTTACGGTAAGAAGACCACTAAACTAGAGTTGCTGTCTTGAACAAAAAGTTTTCTAGGCAAAGTCTGTTTAGTGGGAGTCTCTCCATCTCTTGTGCTTCTCTTTGGAAGTACAAACAACCTCTTTATATGTGATTTAGAAATCAGGGCTCATCTTTTAATTACTTTGCCTCTCAGTGACTCCAGACAGGCAAGTGTGGAAGACCTGAGCAAATAGGAGAACAGTCATTCACTGTAGAAAGAGCTTTAATCCCTATATCCTGCTAAACAGAAATTCACATTACAGATGTAAACATTACTTTTAATGTAAAGCTAAACCAACACATCAATTTTATTTCATTAAGCAGCAAATCAGTCTTCAGAGGGGATAACATTATCAGTCCAACATTTTGCATATGGGAAAATGAATGAATAGCAAGAGATGTCTTGCTTAAGCCTTATTATTGTTTATTATTGGCAGAAGAGAACCTGGTGTTTTCTGCCCTTCCTATTGCATTCCCTAATCAATAACATTTTCAGATCAAGTTTCAAATGCATTGCCTTCCTGGAAGGAGGGGTGCCAGTAGAAAGTCAGCCATGCTTTCCAACACATGGTAGTGATACGTGGTAGCTGTTTAATTCTGTGAGAATCTCTCTCACTCTCTGCTGTAACTGTTCATTAAATGTTCCAAATTCTGACAGAGCTCTGAAAAGAACTCCTTAATTTCCTCAAGCACCTTTCAAATCTACTGTAGAGAATAAAAATAGAAACATTGCTCTTAACGAAAGAATAAGCATTCAAGATGAGAATCTCCATGCTTGCTTTGATAACCTACATGTTTGTGTGCTTCACAGCTCTCCAGGAGAGAGTCTTCCATGGCCAAAATAAGTATGCCAAATTATGCATTTTTTTTTTTTTTAATGGAAGGGGGTTTTATTAAAAACCTCCAACATTATTTAAAAGGGAAATTCTGACACTGGAGAATTAAATGGAAATCCCTGCTGAAGTTAACAGGGGTTCTGGTTTTCATCCTTAGTCTGAACTAAAATCTGCAATGACAGCAGGAACAATTTCAACCCAAGACAACAGTTTTAAGTTTTCATTCACAACACCATAGCAATGGAGGTCACAATCTCCTTAGAAAAGGAATATTTACTGTATTGAATTTCATTGCATATGGAAATGATTTATGCTGTAATCAGAAGCATATCCCCTTCCAGTGGAAGATTCTCAAGCAATTGTCATGGAGCAAACCAGTCTTTAGCTCACTAGGCATTAATTTAACAAGATCTTTTTTTTTTTTTTAAATGACCAGTATCTTCATAATTGATTGGTGCTTAATCTGGTGCAGCACCTGCTCTCTCAAACTCCTGTGGTTCAGCCTATCAGATTCATGAGTCAGAAAGCCAATTGTGACAGTATTATAAAATGTATTGGAATAAACTTTCCACGCTTCAGAACAGAAAAATAATCTACTAATTGATTTCCAGAGTTGAGGTTTCAGGTCCTGAAGGGTTTTTTGGTTGGGGACCCTTTTTGGACAGGAACTTTAAGTGACATCATCACTTTGTAAAGCATAGAGCTGTCATCATAATTATAAGTCTTTTCATGTATTTTATTTTTTAAAAGCTACAGAAAATCAAGACTAAAAATGTTAATGCATTTCTACTAGTGGTCAAGCTGTGCAAATGCTGAATTTATATTCCAGCAATATGTAATACTTCACACGATATAGATGATGTTTTACAAAGCACAGGGTGTAAAAGTGTAACAAATCTGATTTCTTGCTTTTTATGACTACCTAAAGAGTGCTTAATGTCAACTTGGGGCAGCTTTTGCCTTCCCATTTAGGAACAGTTTTAGACCTGCTCTGAAGAACAGTAGAAGCTGCCACCTTCCCTGCTGCACTTTGGAGCATCCTACCAATAAGAAATCTACTCCAATTTCTTGTGTCTGCTTATGTGCTGATGAATTTAATAATGCTGCTGTGGATGTGTTCCCTCTCCTGTCCTGTGAAATCCTTCAACTCAGTCACACCACAGCTTGTCAAGGCATCACACAAGCAAATGGTGATTTCTTGGAAAGGGTGGAGCCCATGTCCTGTGAAACACTGCATAGCAAAGCAAATGCTTTTGTGTTTTTCATGTCAAGCTGTTGTCTCTGCATTGTGTAGAAACTTGGTCAGTTATCATCATTTCCTATAGCAGGAGCTATTTTAAATATCCATCACACTTAAAACACAAGAAATAGATTTCCTCAAAGGGAAACATCTATATTTGATGTTCTTTCTATTCTGCATTTGAATCCTGACTTCTTCCTGTTAGCTGCAGCCTCTTATGTTGTCAGAAGAAGGTTTTAAACATTTTTATTTACTGAATATAACTGATCCCTCTCATTGTCATAGCATTTCTCCCCAGATTCTTTGTAGAAAATTGATGATTTCACCTAAATTTAAACTACCAGCTTCCGTATTATATCATGGTCCATGGACCATATTTAGCTCTGTTGGATGCTCCTTACTCCCCTTCTGCTTTTGCCACCACAAACATGTCCTATGGACTAAATATGTAGATGGAAACATACTTTAGTCAAGACAGGAAGGAAGCCTCATACTGGGACTGCGTCTCAAACAATCCAATGCAATTTGATGGAAATACTTATTCAGTGCTTTGATTTACAGCTTCCCATAATGAAGGGCATTGTGTAATAGTTTTTACAATACAAAAGCTCCATAATGCTGAAATCTTAATACAGGACTGAGGAATGAAAAAAGGAAAAAAAGAAAAAAAGCAATGGAAGAGGTTGCAAGATAGCAACAAATGACAGACAAATAAAGCATGCAGAAGGTTTCCCTGAATACAGAGAAACAATTTGCATTCTAACATTGAGACTAGTAAGAAATATCCAAACCCAAAATGAACAGGAGCTTCCCAGGAGATCAGCTGAAAGAGAAGGTCATCTCCAATTCACCTAATGCTAAAAGCTGAAATAGGGTTAAATTTCTGATAGAACAGGTCTGCAAAGTTTTCTTGAATTTGTTGACTGTTTTATCATTATCCCCAAAAGGCAGCATTGTCATGGCAAGTACAGTTTGCAAATAAAAATGATTACTCCTACCTGAATGTCTTGTTTCACTGTCTTGCGTAACCATATGGGCTTGCTTGGAAGTCTCACAGCAGGATCTGTAACCCATAGGAAGAAGCAGTCTGGGAAGAAAAATGTATATAGCTTCTAAAATCTGCCAGGTTTAGAGTAATACTTTCCTGATGCAGAATTGCCAAACCATCTGCAGGTAAGTTTTGAACTATTATTTACTACTCCTCATATACAACATTAATAGACTCCTGTTCATTTCCCGTGTCATCTGTTGTTCTTAGTCCATTCCCTACCCCCTCCCCCTCACAAACAGCTTTTAGAAAAAATGGGATTAAAAATGCTCACAATTAATCTTTGTTCTGCAGAGAAAGCAGGAAAGTGCCTATGCAGTCAGAAGGTCCACTGTCTCCCTTGTCTTGAGGGCAAGGACTGCAGCCCAGGGATGACATGAGTTCTCAGGAATATTTGTGGGGCAGGAAAGGTTACAGGACCACATATGGGTAACTTTGGCTGCTGTTTTTGTCTGCTTTGCACATCATCCTTTGTTTTCCAGTATGGGGATGTGTTTTAATTTTAGCTCTAGTGCAGGAAGGCAGGGAATGGCCTGCTCCTCTTCTGTAACTTCCATGCATTTTTTGATACTGGGTTAGCTGTAAAGCAGAAGTCTAGGTTTCTCAATCAGTTTCTCAATCAAAAAATTATTTGCAGGCAGTTTCTAACATCCAAACACTCTCTGAAGGGCAATACCAGTAAAGAAAAACAGAAAATTTAAAAAAACAAAACAAAAAAACCACCACCAAACCGAGTCCTGCTTTGAAACCACTCCCGTAGATCCTTTTGCAGTTGGTAAGGATGAAGGAGAATGAAAATAAATAAGTAATGAGCTCTTCCTTACTCTCTGTTCAGGGAAAATCACCTCCTAAAGCCAGGTGTTCAGTTCTCTGTGAGCCCATTCCTTTCTCAGGGTGGCCTGGAGACAGAGCAGGGAGAGACAGTGACACTGGCAGCTCTTAGGGCATTGATGCTTGGAGAGGCTCCCAAAGGCAGGGCAGGCACATCAGAACATCCTGACCACGGCCACCTGGGCCAAACCAAGATCCCAAAAGGCTGTCGAGAGTGTGCTGCTCCCCATGATGGAACCTGCTGACACGCTCCACACATTTGTGAAACAGGGCTGAAGAGAACTCACAGGAGGAAAGACAAAAGGCACCTGTGTTAGACATTGCTGTGCATTAAACACTTGCTTCCAACTCTGTCCTCTAGCACTAATACCACAGCCTAGCACGCAGGAGGGAGTGCAGCAGAGAGGCACCTGCACGAGTCAAATACTGGCCACTTACTCCCCCAACTTACCTTCAGGGCAGCACACAGCTGTTCGATCTGCTTGTGAGTACAAGGCTGGTTTCTGCAACACTTACCCTTGAGTATTGCCCTTTCTAACCAGCTAGGCCTCTTCTACACTGTATTTCCTAATATTGAAAAAAAAAATCTTCACAAAGCCTCTTTGCAAGAAGTCCTATTAAAGGTATATTCACCATGTGATGAGAATTTGCCATATCAATAGTATGCCCAAAGTGCCCCCAGAGGAACTGCTGAAGAAGAATTGAAGCTGTGCTGTGTGAAGTGATCCAAGTATTGCCTATTGGTGAGGGCTGCTCTAATTAAGAAAAAGAAAACATTACCATAAGGCTCAAAGTCCTTCTGACTGTGCCTTAACAAGTAAACAACTTTAAAAGCAAAACCCTCAAGCTCCATCAAAGTGACTGGGAAAAGCAACAGTCACCCTATTTGTCAAACAAAGTTCTCTGCCCACGCTCACTGTGACTGCAAAGTGCTCCAACTTTCATTTTCTTCCACATGGTGGGGGAGTTTGGTAGCTCTAATCCTGTTCATCCAGATGGCCTGTCAGGTTTTATAGGCATTCCTTAAAAATAGAAGCAACCTAATCCTGGTTCAGGTAATTTAAAAGAAATTTCTGCAAAACTGCATTGTTCTTTAAAGCTAGCAGACAATAATTCATGGCTTTGACAAGAGGACTGGTTTCCTCTCTTACCACCAATTTCATAGACCCATTCCTTACTCTGTGTTGATACACAAGGAACTGCAGAACAGCCTGTATCTCCTCTTTCACTTGGTGCTATTTTACTTGCGGCTGAGGATATCGACTGACATGCAGGTCCCACTGGAATTATTACCGGTCCCTTATTGCACAGCTGGCTACCCATATGGCAGTAAGAGCTCAATGACAGAGATGCCGCACCATTCTCAAACCATTTCACACTCATGCTCCAACATAAACCAGAGCCAACTTTGTTACAGCTTTGTTATGAGTTGCAATAACAGCTTTCATGAGAAAAACCGAGCAGACAACTAGAACTGGTTACACACAACTGCCAGATCTGTGACATGCAAGCCAACACCCTGTGAAATACAGCCTGGGCTTGTCCCAGAACCGAAGGTCAGGCTTCAACTGTAGCTGTCACCAAAACAGGGTTTCCAGAGTGAGGTGTTTGGGCTGCAGCTACACATCTTGTCAGCCTAATGTCAAATGACACCTCTGTAACTGCTGCTGGCCCCTGTAACTTCCAACTGCATTTTCACTGCCCATCTATTGACTTCACCAATGACAAGTGATGAAGCAGCACTCTGCACAGCCTCAAGGTTAAGAGACCTGAAGATAACAGCAAGTGCCATGTTTTTGGATGGAGGTATAACATTTATTGAAAGATTCAAAAGGTTTCATTAGATAACTAATACAGTAGGAAAAAAACAAGAAAAGCCTCGGGCATTCAAAGCACAGTTGCCTAAGCCAGACTCAGTTCACAGTGTCTCACTCACCACTGAAAACACCTGGCTCTTTAGGTTTGGTGTCCCATTGCTTCTAACACGCACAGCATCCCTTTTAAAGAGAGCGGTGGAGAACAATAACTGCACCTCTGCAGTCTGCTCAGGCACTGCAAAGAAAAAGCCACGTTGTCCATCGCCCACCGTCCTGAGCAGCTGACAGGTGCTGAAGCAGCGGCCTCTCAGCGCTGGCAAAGCCCCAGTCCCACATCCCAGCACTCCGCCTGCTCTGGGGCGCCATCAGTGCTTCCAGGGCTGCTCTGCTGCACCTCTGCTCCCACAGCACCCACGCTGCCAGCAAAGCTCACAGCACCTGCCCCTGCAGGGCTCCTTCCAAACAGCACTGCAGCAGAAAACTGCAGAACTTCAATACACTGAAAACATCCTCAGATTAACCCACTGTTCTTTTGAAATGCCTTTTGACAACCAGACAGGGAAAACAAAGAAAGACTTCAATTTTCATGTATTTTATTTACAGGCCGCACAATACATTTTATATACAAATGGCTTAAAATAACAAAGAGTAAGCAAGCTGAAGCATAACAATTTATTTTAAATTAAGTTGTCTCGAAATAACTCCTGCAATAAAGTTTCTTCACCCTGATAAGCAAGTTAATTTGATTTTAAGTCAACCCAAGGTAATTTTATTTTAAAATATAGAATTCAAATAAATTTTCTGGTGATTCCTTATTTTCATGACACACTCTGCAAATACAGAACATCCCAAAACTCTCAAGAAGGGTAATAGCCAAAATTTCCTCATCTAAAAAACACTATAACAGAACAGACTGGAGAAATGTTGTATGTAAAACACTTGCATGTTTTATTAATGAAAAGAAGAATGCAAGTAGTACGCCTGACATTTTTCTCTCTTGGAAACAGAATTCATGGTCCAAGATCTAATTTGCCTGCAGACAAGAGGTATCCTGTGTTATTTCACTACTTCAGTTTTTACCACACAATTATCTACTTAACTCATCCAACTATAAACTTCACCAAAACTGAAACTGCCTCCACCAAAACTGAAAGCAAAAGAAGAGCGCTCAAAATCGTAAGAACTTAAAACGTGGCACTTAGTGCCTCTGCTTCTAGAAAGCACCTGACACTACTGCGGGATGGAGACAATTTAAGAGACCACATTTTATGGAAACATAAGAAAATATAGAAGTTTGCCATTTTAAAATTATTTTTCCAAGAAATTAAAATAGCATTTAAGGAGACATGTATTTTTTTATCTCTTCCCTAGCACTGCTCATTCTGTTTAGGATAATGACGACTAGAGATCCATAAAAGCAGTTTCCTTTTCCTTTGGCTGAATTTAAGCATAATAATTGTCTTAAGTGTTTTAAGTCATGGTCATTAGCAGTTCAGTCATGCTCACTTTCTTCCTCTTGGTATGGCTAAAGATGACTTAATATAAATAATGAAGCACTTGCTATTTGATAGTCCATTATTACAGTATTTCATTACACTTATTTAGAAATACAAACACACAACACTTACTTTTCGCTGGGGTATCCAGGTCTCTATAGCTCATTTTGGAATTGCAGCACAGAAAACATAAACCCAAAGGAATGAGGAAGAAAGTAATGAAAGCCATGGCTCCACAGAAAAATAATGCTGTTTTCAGAATGTCTGCTACTACATCAAAAATGCAAGAGCCACATGATGTAAAAATGCCAAACTAGTACAGATTCTGCCGAGTGGAGTTCACGCACAAGGGTAAATGCTGCCATAAGCACCTCACCATGTGATTTAGTTCAAAAGAAATGTTGGCAGATAATACACAGGTCCGGTACAAATGAATGTGGGCCTGCTGTCCTTAGATCTGGGCAGTTCCCTAGCTGCTAACCTGCCCAGACACAATTCCAGGCCAGGGGAGAGCGGCTGCAGGCACCAATCCTCCTGCCACATGTGCACCAGCCCAGGAGAAAAGGTGTCAGCAGAAGAGCCAGGAAGATTCCCTGGATTGCAGAGAAGGCAATCTTTTTAGAGTTAACACAAATAGAAATACATTAACTTTCTCTCCAAATTATCCCAACACTGTTGTCCCAGGCAAATACAGCGTTCAAAGTCACAAGCTAGAAATCCTTAAGCTGGGGAAATGTCATTGTACAGTATTCATCTGCTTACAGCATGCCAGAGTTTTGTTTGATTCATCTGGAAGTCACTTACTTTTTGCACCTCCTCTCTCCTCAGAGTCAGGATTACTTGTGCTGGGGCTGTGGGGGCTTTTTTGTGGCCAAAGACTGAAATCCATTCTGGTAGAACAATGTCTGAAAGTACTGCCAGTCCATAAGCAAACTGCACACTCATTTACAGATGCAGAGGGGACCTACTTCTCTACACCGAATTAAGCTAACTAAATGACTTGAAAATTTATGTCCAAAAGGGAAGGTAGGAGACACAACTTCTTCCTTGTATCTTTGTATTGGAAGTCAATTAATTTAGTTCTCTGAGATGTACTTTCCATTTGAACTTACCTGTGTTTTCAGCCTACTACTGCCTGCAGTTACACTTCAAGTGCAGGTGGGTAACCTCTGACTGCACATCTTTAGCGAAACTAAGTGCATATAAGCTTTGAAAGCTTGATTCTAGAAAAAAAAAAAAAAAAACAAAAAAAACCCCAAAAAAGCAATCTGTGCATATATTTGTGAGTCTGGGTTTTTTAAAGATTAGTAAACAAAGAGCCTTAGCCAACACTGTCCGTATCTAAATGACACTGATGGTTTTTTTCTTTAAAATTTTACTAGCAGAAAAATGTTATGGGGATGTCCTTATTCAAGGAAAAAATATGGTCCAGTGCACTGTCAATCCCATAAAACTTTTGCCTTTCTTAAGCACAGGCTATTCAGGTTGTAAGTATTTGTTTCTGATCTGGCCACTTTTATTTCAGATGGCAGGATTTTCTACCGTGTCTAGTGAAGGCAACTGCCAGACTAGGGGACAGTGTAAGCAGCAGGACTCTCTCCATTCCTCATCTGCCAGATCCTCCAACACTATACAGACTTAGTGAAGGGAGTTTCTCCATGCTCTACAGTGTGGCAATTAGCCATAAATGAGTCAGGATTTTCAACTGAAACAAAACACCAACAGCTTTGGCTTCGATCCTGAAAATCCAAAAAGTCATTGACAAGACATTTGTAATAGTGTAAGTAGAAATTTTACTTTTTAAAAAGTAGTTTTTAAACACTCAGTTACATAAAGTACCGATTTGTCAACTGGATAATCAGTTGGAAAATTGTTTCCAATATGGGCTTCAAGACATCCTTTTACGTACAGGCAAAACATAACCATACCTCCTCTCTGCAGGAGAGACTACTTGTTGTCAGAGGAAACAACAACAAAAAAAAAACATGCTGGAAGTTGCAATTAGTATGAGGAGTGGCTCTTGGTAAGAGTTTTAACTATAATAATCCTAGCTGTTCCGAGACACTCAATTCCAATATTAAAATGTTCTGTGGATAGCAGATATAAAATCAATTAATTGGCACAATCACAAGTTTACAGCGAATTACAACTAGTGTCAGACATTTTGCCATTGCTTTAAATACTGGTCATTTTTCCTTTGGTTACTTCCTACAATGCAGTACTTGGGGTAAAAAGACAAACAGTGTCAGCTTTTCACACAAAGTAAAGAAATTACTGCTGTTGACATTTAAGAGAAAAAAAAACTATTTCATCACATGGTAAGGACATATAAAGTATAGTTCATTTGGCAGAGGAACTAAAACACTTAATACAACTCCAACAGGGAGCTGAGGAAAAACTACACTCTTCATTCTTCTCCTCACTTTCAACGTTTCTCATTAAGTTCAATTTGGAAATTACAGTTTTATCTAGGTAAAATCAGGTCTCTAAGTAACTGGCCCATGTAAAGTAAACACCACAAGATTATGACCTGCTTGAGTTTCTTCTTATTATCTGAATTCTCTTTTTAATTACCTAGGTTTAGGCATTATGTTCATAGCAACCTATGAAGTACTTCCAAATTTTTGCAGACCTTAAGCTTACATGTTAAGGCACTTACCATTCAAGTAAAACAGTTTTTATATAAACAAGCGTGGGAGATGGAGAGAACATTTTACCAGAACACCCTTTTCTTTTCACTTGGACAAAAAAAAAAAGTTGACCAAATATTTATAAAATTTTGCATCAAGAGAAAGGTTGTGTTTTATTATCTGAAATGAGCACGAAGTACACCTTCCACAATAACACTGAAAGCAGTGCAAAGACTGACAGTGACCTTTGACTAAAAGTAGTTCTGTAAAAAGAAAATACCAAATAAATCAGTGCCCTGCTTTGATTGTTGTAAAATTTCATTCTTTTTACATAAAAGTTGGTCCAAACTTACAAAAAAAGCACAAATGTGCATAGTTCAGAAGATCTGAAAGAGTGCCATAAAAAGCTGATGTCCCTAAATTTAGCATCCACTTAAAACTGCCAAAATACAAAATAAAAGTCAGAACTAGAGTTTGTGAACATGTACAATCAAGTCATCTAGTTTTTAGACAGCATGAGTTGTAAGCATTTTTTAATTTTTTTCTACTGTATGCAAGACCCTTTTCCACATAAAAATAAAGCTGTTGAATTAACATTATTCAAGTCTGTTGAATTGCTGCTTTAAATTGCAGCTAGGGGAGAAAAAGAAGTTTTTCCAGATAAAAATGATGTGCCTGAGGAAAAACAGATACTCAAAATGGTAATCCTCTGCCTCGCCCTCTCACTGCAGATGTGCTAATGTGTCCCCTGAATCCTTGGGAATAGCCAGGCCCTTGGGCAGGAGAAGTCCAAGTCTGTCCATGCATGTGGCTGATGCCAGTGGGATTTTCCTGTAAATTACTGCCATAGCTATAGTTGTGCATCTTTGTGGACAAAGAGTGTGCACTCTCTGGCCCTGTGGAAGCATCACTGCTGCTCCCCAAAACTGGGATTGGGCCGTGGCTGTATTCAAACCTATGGTCTTTATCTCCACTGAACAGCATGGGGCCAGCATTGAGGTAAATGTCTCTGTAACCAGTTACTGAGCTGGGAAAGGATTCTGGAAAGGCTGATGGAGGAGGGGCAGCACCAGAGTGAGATGAAGCAGTACTGTAGTTATCCAAAGACTGAATATCTGAGTTTCCAAGGAAACTCCTCCTTTCTAATACTCCTGATGGTCCGCTTCCTATTCCATCGCTAGTGCTGTAACAGGCAGATGAGAAGGACGACGATCCAAAGTTATCCTTGTAGTCTGGGCCTGTTACATAGGAGTCTCTAGCCTGATAATCCACGCTCGCCTGTACTGGCTCCTCCGTTGTGGCCTGAGCTTGATGCTGAGCCAGCAGCTGCAGAAGAGCTGCTTTCACTCCCGCATGAGGATCTGTTCCTGAAGAGTTACTTATAGGCAACTGCTGATTCTCTGTCCGATAATCAAGGTCTTCATCGGTGAGCGGCGGAGGCTCCGGTGGCTCGGGAGGACGCTGGTCTGGAGGCAGGATCCGAGGGCGCTCCTGCTCAGGTGTTCGGTTCAGAAGCCTCATCTCAGACTGCCTAACCAAATCCTCTTGACCTAAGAAGATGAAAAAGAAAGCTCTGGAATAAAAGTATACAAATAATAGGACCAGAAAGAAAAGGACTCCTTCCTCGAAAAACACAGAGGCCTGTTAACTTCAATTCTAATAAATTTATTAGCTAAATTTGTCAATAATTATATTGATTATTTTGGACAAAATTTGGCAACAGCTCATTTGGCTCAGGAGCATGATGCAGGTTGCTCCTTAGAGATTACCAAGCAGTCAGTTAAAGAAAAAGTTCCTTAAAAAAACCCACAGCAAAAGCAAACAACCAGGACAAAACGCAAGCAACACAAACACTAAAAATTCAAAGGAGGATCAAGATTCACAGATAAGGATAGAAGTCTCAACGGACAAAGGGCCACCCTATCAAAGAGCAGCAAAACTCAAGGTATAAAATAAACACAAACAAAAAAGCACGCCTCTCAAAAAAACCCCCAAAACCCTCCAGGAACAGCCCCAAAGCACTTCAGAGTATTTTTCTTTCAGCAGCTGCAAACACCACAAAACAATGTAAAATAACCTGAATTTGCAAGCCAAAAATACGAACAGAGCTCTAAACTGTGAGAGGACTACAGAAGCCACTACGATACCTCAATGGAAACCTTTAGCCACGTGTGTGTGACAGTTAAGGGTAACCACTGAATTTGACACTAAAGAACTGCTCTAGTCAGCATTAGAACCCAAATTAAAATACTGTCTCATGAAAATAAGTTTTACCTAAATACACAGCCAAAACTGGCAAATTACATCTACGCATCTGCTAGAAAAGACTGTCTTCACCACCACACTCATCACTAAGAAAACCAACCCCTACAATAATGATCAATGTTTCATCACTAATGCTTGTACACCTCTCAGGTTAGCTATTGCTTGCTCTGTCTGCATGGCACCTGTTAGACTAAAAGACAAATTCTCTGATCCTGACGTAAAATGTGACCAAATCAATTTAATCTCCTATATTCACACAGATTCATATGGCAAACATGTTAACTCTCTACTCCCACACTATTACATCTCCAGTGCTCCAGGTATTTGCTGGTTAGCAACAAAGGCCTTCAGTACCTGCAGACACATATAATGACTTGATCAGATGTGGGTAGCCAGGCGCTGGAGATTCCACGTCGTCCCGGCTGACAGACACAGGAGTGGCGGGCTCTGGAGGCTGTCTGAGTTGTAATGACATTTCATTTCCTGATCCATTTTCCTTCTCCTCCAACACAAAATCTTTTTGTTTTGTTTGCTGAGCCTTTATTAACTGAGACAACAGAACAGCAAATGCACTCTGCACAGCTGCCTGGGCAGCATCAGTCTCCACTTTGGGCTGACCCAGCTGAGCAGGTGGCACCGGGGGCTGTGTGACCATCGGCTGTTTTAGAGGCTCCTGCTCTGGAGGTGGTGGCGGAGGTGGCGGCGGCTGCTGCTGCTGCTGTTCTGACTGTTTTTCACCTGCTGACAAAATTCCAGCAGGAAGATTTATTTTATTTAGTTGCTGTTGAGTCTCCGGGTTTACCTTAATATTCAATACTTGGGCAAACTGTGCCAAACTAACACTTGTTTTAGACTGTAGCAGGTTTAGCAGGATTGCCACTTCATTCTGGTTTAACTGCTGTCCAGTGCTTGTTTTTGCTAAAGACAAAAAAGGTGTTTTTAAGTATTATTTAGAACTGGCATATTTGAGAAACTCAAAAGAAGACTAATCTAGCATAGCTGACACGGCTGGCAAAGCATGGGTTTGGACAACACAGAAATGGAATACTTCTACATGTTAACTGTCTTTAGGGAGTATCTATAGGAAATGGAACAGTAAGATCCACCATAACCAATGTGACTTCCATGAGGTGCAGGCACACACTTACACAGATGGAAAAACACCAAGCTAGAGCTCAATATTCCACAATATAATTAAGTTGGGGCTTAAGGCCACCTGCTTTAGGCAGCTATTAGACTTCTAATCCCCATAAAATTTCCTATCTTTGACATATCACAACCTTTTGTTATAAAGTAGCCGCCTGCAAAATCCATTTCCAGTCATATTCCAGCCCATTCTAATTCAGCAT